ATTAAGCTAAACAAAAACAGCGAATACATGTAGCACTTGTATAGAAATCACCAACTTCTAGAACTACGCAATAAGATTCTTGGAAATGATCGCAATCTTCACAAGTAACCCCTATAACAAATTAACATATAAAATTAATTCATGTTTTCATCAACATCAACATCAACATTAACAACATCAACAACAACATTTGGAATCGCACTTAACAACGTCAAAAAATGATACATTTGGTATGAAGCAACTAAACTAAGTAAGCTAAACAAAAACAACGAATACCTGTAGCACTTGTAGAAAAATCACCAACTTCTAGAACTACACAGTAAGATTCTTGGAAACGATCACAATCTTCACAAGTAACCCCTATAACAAATTAGCATACAAAATTAATTCATGTTTTCATCAACAACATCAACATTAACAACATCAACATTGACAACATCAACAACAACATTTAGAATCGCATTTACCAACGTTAGAAAATGATACATTTGGATTATAGGATGTATTAAGTTTTCATTTATTTTGGACAATCATAAAACATGTTATTCAATTTAGTAGTGGTAAAATATAATTCTAAAGACCCTATAATAAAACAGAAATTAAAATGGAAGAATACCTCATATAGGGACCTTCCAAAAATATTCATGAGAATTTCAATAAAAAGTATTCTAGATTTTTTTTACATTCCAATCTATTGAAGATGAGCACAACCTCTTCATGCTTATATGAAAATCCTTGTGGTTTTTTAAAAGCAAGATAAACAAGTCTTCCAAATCCCTAGTGATGTTGTCCATTAAACCAATACTTTGCAAATAAAGAATATCTCAAACTCTTATAAATCACATATATATTATAAAAGCAGTGTTTTGTTTAACAAATAAAGCAACTATTTTTATCATGATTAATTTCCACAATATTTCAACCTAAAAAACTTATACAATATTTCTACAACAAAAAAAACTCATCAATCCATAACCATGAAAATGAAGAAAGTGACTAAAATACCTTGAAAATGGTGAAATGGTCGGACAGAGGTAGTGTCGCGGACAGAGGGAGTACTATGGCCGGCGGAAAGGAAGAAGATGGCGAATGAACGGAGGGAGGACGGCAGTTGACGGAGGGAAAATGGTGGAATGGTCGCGAGAGGTTTTTCAGAAATGGTGAAAGGGTTTTGTCGCGAGAGGGAAAGAAAAAAAGAATGTTGTTTTCTGAATACTGTTTCTGAAAAAAGCTCGTTTTATTAATTTAAAAAAATTAACACATATAGCAGCGCTTTTGAAAGCGCGGCTGAAACCCCCCTATAGCAGCGCTTTCTTCTAATCAGCGCTCTCTAAGGTCTGTCTTAGGCAGGAACTATAGCAGCGTTTTTCAAAAGCGCTTTCGTATACCCCCCTTTAGCAGCGCTTTTACAAAGCGCTTTTGTATACCCCCCCCCTTTAGCAGCGCTTTTCATAGCGCTTTCGTATCCCTCCTTTTTAGAAGCACTTTATTAAAAGCGCTTTCGGAGCTCCCCCTTTTTAGCAGCGCTTTTAATAAAGCGCTTTCTTTTGTAATAAATATCCCCCTTTAGCAACGCTTTATTAAAAGCGCTTTCTAAATTCAGCGAATTTTTTCCTTTGTTTTTTTAACTCTTTAGCAGCGCTTTTACAGAAAGCGTTGTCTTTTCTGCGCTACCAAAAATCATTTTTGGCATAGTGTGCCCGAGCATTCGAGATCACCTGCGAGTACTTGAATATTGGAGCCAATCTTCCCCTCTTCTTCACTGTCTTCCACCTCTAACGCCAAGTCATACGAGAGAAGTTTGGATGGGTTTCCCTGAAGCAGGGGAGGAAGTTGTTCAAGGCCTTTTCAGAGTCCATCAGGACGTTCAAGGAAAGGTACTATGTAGTGGATCCTGTGGTGGAGAGGGCTAAAGACTCTTCATTTCTCTGGGAGATTTTTACAAATGAAAATGGGGAGCCCATTCACGACGAGTAAGGAAAGGTGAGGGGGTGTCAGGCACTGAAATTCCGTTTTGCCTGGAGTAAAGACCACTTTATCAGGGAAACCGAGGAGTACCTTGCCAGGTCGGCCATGCTGGATGAAGATGACTTGGCCAACTATAATAAGTCGGTGGCCTTTGTTGATGGTTTTCGCCCTACTCGGCGCGTGACCATGGGTGGGGACATTATTATTGAAGATGACAGGGGGGCCAAGGTAGAGGCCTGGTATATTAACACTAATTAGCTCCTCGACTGAGGCATGCACAAGGACACTCTGGAACTTTTGGGTAGCCATTTTTATTTTTAGCTTGTCCCGTATTGTTGTTTTTAATTTACTAACACGTGTCTATTGTTTGCACGCAAAATGTCCACCGCACAAGAACGTTGGGTAAAAACCGCAAGCACATTAATTCACTTTCTTGATTACTTGGACCCGAGGAGCCTTTCTTAAGCTTTGAGTGATCGTCATCCAATCAAAATACAAGCACATTAATTCAACTTCTCGCCGTCGTGCGATTAAAACTATTTTCTACAAGAACAATGTTTAGTCTCTTCTAAACACTTGTTTGATAAAATAAACCAACCAACCGTTGTACCACGAACTATGATACTTTGAATTTCCCATTGCACGAGGGAGTACGTAGGCACAAGGGTACTAATCCATGGCGAGCACCCTAATAATAAAACCATCCATTTTCTCCTTAGAAGCGAATCCTTAAAAGATAACAAACAACCTAGCTAACATTTTTCTCGAATTGAATCAAGAGGTTCTCATTTAGTACAACAGACGTAGAGGGTGCTAATACCTCCCTGTTAGATAATCGACTCCCGAACCTAGAATTTGGTTGCGATAACCATATTCTTATCTCTTGAAAGGTTTTATCGATATTTTCCTATTCCTTTCTTGAAATGAATAAAGTTCGGTGGAGACTCTGTTCGAACGTTTTTCCCGCATCCATCGCTAGGATCATATTTTTCAAGGTAAGACACTAGGGTAGCTGACGGTCATCAGCAAGGTGACTGGGAGACTGTGTTGGTCATCCATGTCACATAATTGCTAACATATTGTTTTGTTCGTTGACATGGGTATTTCAGTTCTATAGAGAAAATATAAGAAATTTGCGACCTTTATTACAACATATGTGTTTGCTATATATACTAAATTAAGAATAATTATCTGTTCAAATCTTTTCCTGAATCTATTCAAACCTCAAAAGGAAGACTTAAATCAAAAATATATAACAAGTACTTGTATCTTGATATCCAAGTATATAACAAAGTTCCCTTGTCAAAAGCCACTCGTTTGACGAAAAATAATATGGTTTTCAAATTTTTGGACTTTGGTGAACAAAGCCTCATGTGCTAAATTATTTCCAACGACTGATAAGTACCTTACACGTTCAGCTATATTCCAAGTATGTGAGTTTACTACTGCACACTCCTATTCACTACATACAAAGCAAGATCATGTATCAAATCATGTAGTTTGAATGTGTCATAATATCCCCTGTTTTTGGCATTTAACTTGTCTATATATTCTCTTCCAATATTATTTTATTGTTCACTTCCATTTTGGGATTGCACTAATCCAAGAGCTACATACGCACCATAGGCTCGCAAAACTTCTTCTGAAGCATAAGAAGCAGTCTTTCCTAGGAGTGAACTAGCAATATGGAAAGCAAATAATTCGTCATGTTAATGAAGAAAGAGCAAAAGCTATGTTTCTATCAAAGTTATGTTTAATCAGAATATATTTACATGATACAAATCAATTAAATCTTCAACTGCTTGTTCTAGCTTGACTTGCAAACCAAATTCATCCAAAACATGATCAGCATCAGAGCAAATGTTGCTGGTGTTTCATCTCCTCCTTCATCCAACAAAAGACTTGTGATAATTGACAGAGTATCTTTGATCCCTTGAAGATCATCATACACACGACAGGCACGAGCAACTAACATATATGCCTGCACATCGTGCGGGTCTTAATATTGCTTGGATATTAAATGTGTCTCGGCCATTGACAAAGTCTATGCTGTTGGTATTTAAATATGTAGAATGTTATTGATATAGAGCTTTAGTTGAACCAGATAGACATAACGAGTCACTTACGCTCAAATGTTAACCTTCCAACACTGATTCTTATGGTTTTTGTCTCACACGCAAGTAGTTATTTATTCTCAACATATATAAGAAGTATTTGAAATGTTAGCAACAATAACCACAAATTATATACCCAGTTTACAAGATAGGCATGAATACTTATAGTGAATATATTCATGCTCCATGAACTTGTTGTCTAAGATCCTTGTTTGATTATTCAACAAATATTCAACGACATACATTATGAATCAATTACTTTAGTCAGTTCAACACAAATGCTATTTCAAACATAAATCATTAAGTACTAGACATATAAAATAATCACTTTCAATTCTTTGCCTACAAACATAAAGCCAAAAACATTTTGAAAATCTGAAGCCTCTTGCTGAGATTCATTTTCTCGAACGCAATTCAATCAACTACTTGACTTCTTTTTTGCATGTGTCTCCATTTTCCACGCTTGCCTCATCGTCAACCTTGCCATGTAAATAAAGGAAATTTTACACTCAAACAAATCATGGAAATAACTAATAGGTAACTAACTACACAGCAAACCATGTACTGCACACTAAACTAGGTGATGCCATTATAAGGTGTCTTCATGGTTGCTTACCCCATTTCAGTGTTCTTAGAATCATTCAAATTAGAATACATTATATATAGGTTTCAAATTGTAGTTAAACTTTATGTCTTCAAACAAGAAAAAAGTTTAGAAGGTGGAACCAATACTTATCAAATACAAATTAATATAAAATAAAATGGGAACAATCCTTGTGCACAACATAAAAAGCATTTGAACATTAGGTTTTGGGGGAGAGAGTGAGATATCAAATTAAAAGGAATGATATTTAGCCCAAACTTAAAAAGGATTATGGAAGTGACAAAATCTTATATTACCTTCAAGAGTAAACAGCTTCATTCCTCAACAACTCCTTGTAGAATTGCAATTGAAGTGATTTTCATGCTAACAATCATGGGCCAATACTCACCAAACTCAGGCTGATATTTTTGGAATAACTTAGGACAACCACATATGACTAAATCTTCAAGGGAAGTGAGGTGATGGAAGTCACTTGGAAGACTCAACAGTTGAGGGCAGTACAAAATCCAAAGGCGCTTGAGACGAGTCATTGTTGTTAGGCACTCGGGAAGTGTCGTAAAATCGGGAAGTCCAACAATCTCTAAAGTCTCTAAAGTCTCTACAACACCTTCAATCCAAGTAGGAATTGTCAGAAATCCTGTGAGTATTCCAAGATATAAACGTTTCATCATCAACTTTGGGATTGAGCTTTCATTGTACAAAGTCAAGTTTAGCATCTGGCAGTCTGAAATTGCAAGATCTAGTAATTTAGGAAAAATGAAGAGAGGTAGGGACTCTAGGCTACCACATGATTCAACATTCAATATTTCAATAGAAGTGAGTTGTTGCACCTTATTGAATAGAAACTTCATATTGTCACACTTATAAAAGACCAAAACTTGAAGGTGCTTCAAGTTTTCTAGTTCTGTCAGTGACATAACTGATTGGTTTGTGGTTATATACAATTCTCGAAGGCTAATCAATAACTCTAACCCTTGAGGCAATGTTTCAAGCTTTGTGCATCCAATGAGCCTCAAGACTTGCAAATTATGGAGTTTGCAAACAGAATTTGGAAGTCTTTTGATATATGCATTATAAGAAAGGTCAAGAACTCGCAAGTGCTCCAATTTAGCAATTGAAGAAGGCAGCGTCTCAAAGGAAAAACGATTTAAGTCAAAATACCGTAAGTATTCGTATTTTGATATCCATGTATCCAACAAAGTTTCGCTGACAGTGCTCACCCATTTGACGGGAAATAATATAGTTCTCAAACCTCTTGAGTTGGATAACGAAACTTTATCTGTAGAATTATTTCCAATAATTGAGAAGTGCCTTACATGTTCAGGTATATTTCCAGTATGTGAATCAACTGCTACACACTCCTCTTTTGCAACATAAATAGCGAGATCGTGAATCAAATCATGTACTTTGAATGTTACAACAAAGCCAAAGTTTTCGAAATCTTGAAGAAATGATCTAGAATATAACTCTTCTATATATTCTCTAGCAATATCCATTAGTTGTTCACTTCTATTTTGAGATTTTACTAATCCATGAGCTATCCAAAGACGGGTAATGTCACCAATAGAGATGGCATGATCTTTGGGATAAAGGGAAAAGTAAGCAAAGCATTGCCTCAAATAGGAAGGCATTTGATCATAGCTTAACTTTAGTGCAGGCAAAATATCTCCTTTCTTTTGTTCAAAGTTCCATATCTCGCAATCTCTTAGAGATATCCACTTTTTTGAATCATATTTCGCGAACAATGAGCTTCCTAATGTTCTGACAGCAAGTGGAACCCCTGCACATTTTTTCACGATTTCTTTTCCAATCTCTAAAAGACCTGGATGTTTAATTTCTTCACCTTCCTTAAACGCCCATTTGACAAACAAAGATAAACAATCATCTTGAGAAAGACCACTTAAAACATACGGGGGAAGAGTACCTGTCATGTTAGCAATTGATTTACTACGTGTCGTCACAATGATACGACTTCCAGCTGCACCAATGTTTATCAAATCCATCAACTCCATCCACTTTGCACGATCATCGTTCCATATATCATCAAGCACAAGAAAAAATTTCTGACCAGAAAGCGTATGTCTAAGACGACTTAGAAGCAATTCAGTATCTAAGTTGTTGAGGTTTTCTTGGTAAGCAACACTTGGTGGACCAAAAGCAGAGGGAGAGTTGATGATTTTAATAATTATGTGCCAGGTATCAAAGTTGTTGGACATAGAAACCCAAATCTTCAATTGGAAAAGTTGATCCATCCTCTTATCATTATACACCAACTTTGCAAGTGTGGTCTTCCCCAATCCTCCAATTCCCACAATTGGAATAACACACAAACTTTGATCACCATCACTCTGAGAATGAGGTTGCATCAAAAGCTTGATAATATTTTCCTTATCATTCTTCCTACCAATTACATCTGAAGCATTAACATGGGAGTGAGTCAATTCACTCCTTTGCAAAACAGGTTCAGGACCAACATCAATATTTGTTAGACCAAACTTGATCCCATCAGCTGCTACCTTATCTAATCTTTCCCTAATCTCTTTGATTTGGTGTGCCATCATAGGACGCAAAACAATTGGATTAGAGGAAGAAAATAAGTGACGTACCTTCGTCCCAGTTTTGTTAGATGTTTGGCCAACTTGCTTTCTCTTGTGTTGGAACTCAAATCCATCAAGTACATCTTCAGCATCATAGCAGATGTTTTGAATCTGTCTCAGCCATTCACGCAGCCCATGCTTTTGGTCCTTCTTATACTCAGCATCCAACAGAACACCTCTGACGATTGACAAAGTTTCCTTGAATTGTTGTAGATCATCATACACACCATATGCTCGTGAAACTTCTTCATAAGCATGAGAAACAAGCTTCCCTAGGAGTGAATCAGCAATACTGAACACAAATGATTCAGCCATGTTAATGAGGAAAGAGCTGAACTTATATTTGTATCAAAGTTTGTGGTTCTGGTGGCTGTGTCTTCTTCAGATCCATACTCGTTTGTGGTTCATTATTGTTGATTACTGTATACAACATTATTGAGCGACCCCATTGTTGACTATAATAAGTATGAGTTGAAATTTTACATTATTTATTGATATAAAGGTAGAGATTTAAATATTTATAAATGGAAGAATTTATATTTCTATAAAATTTAAAATATTAGATTAATATATAATGTATCAACAAATATCTCCTCTATTGTGCATGACAGAATTCTTAACAGAATTCATAACAGAAATGTGGAGAAGAAAAATAAGAAAGGAATAGAAGGAAATCCTCCATATGATTGTAGAGTTCTTACATTTGGAATGAAGAGCATATTACATGTTTATATAGAAGAAGCTCTAACAAACTTAACTAACAGCTAGCAAACTTAAACTAACAGTGGTTAACTGTAATAGCCTCCCTCAAGCTAAGCATGATGAATATTGATCATGCCAAGCTTGGAAACAAACTTGTTGAAAGTTGATGTCGGTAAAGTTTTGGTCAAGAAATCTGCAAGCTGATCATTAGTTGAGATGGGAAGCAGTCTAAGTAAGCCTTGCTGAAGTTTTTCGTGCACTAGATGGCAGTCAATTTCCAAGTGTTTAGTTCGTTCATGGAATACGGGATTGGAGGCTATATGCATCGCACTCTGGTTGTCACAATATAGGACAGGTATTCTTGAGAAAGTAATATGTAGTTCTTTCATTAAAAAGGTCAACCAAAGCAGTTCACAAGTAGTAAATGATAATGCTAGTATTCAGCTTCTGAGGAGGATCGAGAAATCGTTTGTTGTTTCTTAGTGCGCCATGAAATGAGGGAAGAACCAAGGAAGAAGCAATAACCAGATATGGATTTTCATGAATCAAGGCATCCTGCCCAGTCAGCATCTGAGAAGCCAAGGAGCCGACGTTCTGATTTTCTGCTAAACAAGATACCTCGTCCAGGACTGTTCTTGAGATATCAAATGATTCTGCAGGCAGCATGAAAATGGGCCATAGTAGGGTGGTGAAGAAATTGACTCAGTTGTTTCATGGCATACGTGATGTCTGGTCGAGTTGTGTTCAGATATAGCAAACGACCAATCATCCTCCTATATATTCCAATGTCTTCAAAAGGTTTTCCACCATCAGCATGGATTTTGATGGAAGGATCTAGTGGTGTTGCTACTGGCTTAGAACCAAGTAAGCCTGATTCTTGTAAGAGATCCATGCAGTATTTCCTTTGGGACAAACAAATACCTTCTTTTGAGTGAGCAACTTCGAGACCAAGGAAGTATTTCAAGGTTCCTGGATCTTTTATGCTGAAACTGTCATCAAGACAAGTTTTGATACGATTGAATTCAAGCATGGAATTTCTAGCTAGAATTATGTCATCAACATACACCAAAATGGATGTGAAATGTTTGTCAGTTTTCAAAACAAATAAAGAATAATCAGAGATAGATTGAGTATAGCCTTGTTGGATCAACAAAGTTGTTAACTTCTCATACTATTTTCGACTGGCTTGCTTTAATCCATAGAGACTTTTGTTAAGCATAGACACTTGGTTAGATTTGGTACAAGAAATACCTTCAGGAACTATCATCTATACATCTTCTTGCAAATCTCCATGTAAAAAGGCATTGTTCACATCAAGTTGGTGCAAGAACCAGTTATTTGTAGCAGCAGCTGCAAGGAGTGTCCTGGCAGTGGTGAGCTTTGCTACATGGGAGAATGTGTCAAAGAAATTTAATCCTTCAATCTGATTATATCCTTTGGCAACCAGCCTGGCCTTATACCTCTCTATCATGCCATATGCTCTATGCTTAATCTTGAAGACCCATTTATTTCCAATAGGCTTGACATGAGGTGGCAAATCAACTATGTCCCAAGTCCCATTCTTGTGTAATGCGTCCAACTCAGATTTCATGGCCTTAATCCAATGTTCAGATAAACATGTTTCTTTATAATTCTTTGGTTCATGTGTGTGTGTGATGAAGGATAGAAAGATACTATGAGATGCAGAGAGATGAGACAGAGAATCATATTTAGAAATAGGATAAGCTGAAGTTTTACCTGAAGATGTTGTATCTGCTGAAACATTGGAAGTGTTGCACACGTAATCTGAGAGATAATGAGGAACCAGTCTATTTCAGAGCAGGGTCAGAGTTTGTTACTTGTTGATTAGGGTTCTGAATATGATGGACAGGGTCAAAATTTATTACTTGTTGATTAGGGCTATGAGTATGATCAATACTGTTGTTTTTGAAATGGTCTGTTCTGGATGGGATTCATGTGCAGAATTTTCAGGGTGAATACCTAGAGAATGCCTAGGGTCATCATCAATGCTAGTATGGTGATTATGATTGGAATCAGAATGTGAGTGGTATTCCCAAGTAGAAGAGTTGTTGTTTGAGTAAGGAAAGATATGTTCATAATGTGTGACATTTCTAGAAACAAAAATTTCTTGAGTATCAAGGTCATAGAGTACAACACCTTTCATACCATTTTTGTATCCTAAAAAACATATTTTCTACCTCTTGGTGCAAGTTTTGTCTTATGCATATGGAGAGTTGATGCATATGCTAGTGAACCAAAAACTTCCAGGTTGTGCATATCAGGAGGAGTATTGTGTAAAATGAAGTGAGGTGAATGGTTGTCAAGAACTTTTGTAGGAAGTTTATTTATAATGAAAGCAGCATGTAAAACTGCATAAGACCAAAAGGGTTTAGGAAGTTTTGATTGGAACAAGAGGGCTCTGCCTACATTCAAAAGATGTTGATGTTTCCTCTCCACTCTACCATTTTGTTGTGGAGATTCCACACAACTTGTTTGATGTAAAATGCCTTTAGAAACATAAAAATCAGGCTTGGTGAATTCAAGACCATTATCGGTCCTAATGATTTTGACACATTTATTTGTTTGAGTTTCAATTAGTTTGACAAAATTGATGACATGTTGTCTAGTTTCAGACTTGGATTTCATAAGTGTTATCCATGTGTGTCTGCTGCAATCATCAACAGCAGTTAAGAAATATGAATGGCCATGTAAGGATTTGATAGCAAGAGGTCCCCAAATGTCAAAATGGATTAAATCATAAGGGTGTGCAGCTCTACTATCACTAACATTGTAAGGAAGTTTTCTATGTCTAGCAAAATAATACACATCACAAACATCTTTGTTATTGACTGTGATAAAGGGAAATTGAGAATGTAAGTACAATAGTCTGTTGTGTGATAGATGTCCTAGTCTAAAATGCCAAAGGGCCCAATCAAGTAAAGTTGTGGTGGCTGCTAAAGAGTGACTATGTTCAGGATTGACAAGCAACTCATTATCTCTTTGCTTTAAGTTGTACAACCCACCTTTCTTTTCAGCAGAACCAATCATCTTCTTCTTGGTTTTGTCTTGAATGATACATTTGGATTTGAAAATTTTGACATCAATGTTAAATCCATCACACAGTTTTGAAACAGATAATAAGTTTAAAGTAAATTCAGGAATGAAAAAAACATTTGAAATAGAGAAATCAGGAGAAAATTTAATTGTGCCTGAATATCTAGCAACAAGACATTGCCCATTTGGCAACTTGACATCAATGGGAAATATTTCTTTATATGTACGGAACCATGTAATGGAACTACTGATATAATCAGTAGCCCCTGAGTCAATGATCCAAGATCCTAGGTTGATAATATGATTGTTATGATGCATGTTACCTATTGATGAATGACCAACAGCAACTTGGTTTGAGGAAGAAGCATGTCCTGACACATGACCAAGGCTAGACTTCTGTAGCAGATCCATTAACATGTTGAATTGGCCTTGAGTCATAGGGGAATTGTCATCTTTAGTGTCAATATTATGGGAAGCAGATCCATCATCATTGCTCTCAGCTGTGATGTTATTAGCTGCAGCTGGAAATTGCTTCTGCATATGTGGAGGAACACCATGTTTCTTGAAACAATGATCAACAGTGTGGTTAGTTTTACCACAAAAGGTGCACACACGATTTCCAGCTTTAGAAAAGGTTGGTTTTGATCCAAACTTCTTGGAATCTGCAACATTGATCAGAGACTGAGATTCATCAATTTATGGATGAAGTTTTATTTACCTTTCATGTTGAATGACCATGGAAAAAATCTTGTTTATAGGAGGTAAAGGATCCATTAACAACACTTGCGACTTGACAACAGCAAAGTGATCATTCCGAACAATTAAGAAACGAATGATACATAACAGTTCATTATTTGTTCTAGCTCGACGCATAGCTTCGCAAGAACATTTGATGCGATATGTACACATAGGCAATGGAAAATACAAATTAAGTTCTTCCCAAAGAATTTTGAGATTAGAAAAAAATTCAGTTACCGGTTTTGATTCTTGTTTGAGATGATAGATTTCTTGCTGTAGTTCAGAGATGCGAATGAGATCTCCTTGGGAGAATCTTTCTTTGAGGTCATTCCACACGTCAATAGTGTTTTCCATGAAAACAATAGATTGAGCAATAGAACCGAAAATAGAATTCATGATCCAAGAATGAACCAGCATGTTGCATCGATTCCAAGCTCGAATTGACGGATCGAAAGGATCTAATGGAGCTAGTAAAGAGCCATCAATGAACTCGATCTTCATCTTGCCACCAAGTGCCCTTTTCATTGATCGAGCCCACAAATGGTAATTGGAGCCGGTAAGCTTGGGAAGAACGGTGATGGAACCGGGACCATCACTTGGGTGAACGAAAAAAGGAGAAGTTGGATCCAGGACAGGATCAACTGGGGAGGAACGAGAAGGTGCCATAGAGGCTGAAACACAATTATGCAACAGAAAGCGGAAGTAGGATCGGGAAGGCGTGTGATACCATATTGTGCATGACAAAATTCTTAACAGAATTCATAACAGAAATATGGAGAAGAAAAATAAGAAAGGAATAGAAGGAAATCCTCCATATGATT